ATATATATATGAAGTTGCCTAAATAATACTTCATCTCCTACTACCTTATGGAGAGCTGTCATTTTAGAGAGTGAACGTCCACAAAAATCAATACTTAAAAGAGCAGAGACCTGCTTATGCCTGCAGATTTACAGCACTTCTAATAATAGCCGCCTGATGTTTGCACCGCAGGAACTTACCTATCTTTTTCTAACTAATGTCACCGTGTTGTAGCATGTATTTACTGCACTGTTTTCATTTCAGGTAGCAGAGAAGCAGCGTTCACATATGCCATCATTGCTGCTGGAGTGGCCCACGCAATCACGGCTGCCTGTACGCAGGGGCACCTGAGTGACTGTGGTTGTGACAAAGAAAAACAAGGACAGTACCATAAAGAGGAAGGATGGAAATGGGGAGGCTGCTCTGCTGACATCAGATACGGAATAGGATTCGCCAAAGTGTTCGTGGATGCCCGGGAGATTAAGCAAAACGCCAGGACGCTCATGAACCTGCACAACAACGAGGCCGGGCGGAAGGTAAGTACCTCTGCTCTCCCCCCGACGCGGCCGTCTCCGGCCCAGGATGGGACATGGGGCTGGATTGCGTACAGTGCATGAGAACTACGGCGTGCTTTAATGCTAACCTCCGTTTACAGTAGACAAGTAGGCACCTTTGCAAGTTATACAAGCTTGTTGGACCATCCGTCTGTCACATATTTGTCTAAATGTTACTCTTTACAACCGTAAAAAGAAAAAAGCTAACAAACGTTTTATCTGTAACGTCAAATGGTACTTATGATAAAAAGCTTGCCTGCTACTGTGTGGGTGAATAGGATTCTCGTCAGGTTCAGACATGAACTTCTCACTCATTTGAAAAGGGATCATTTTCACCCAAGTGTTTAAACCTTGCTCTTTGTGTGAGGACTAGCTCTACAAGGAGAAAAATACTTTAGCAAAAGACTGACTCATTGTTACACCATTATATGGATTCGGTTTATCATTTTGCACAGCGTGATCCCCCCCCGCCCCTATTCTTTGGGACAAGGTAGCTGAACGCAGGTGCTGCAGAGCCAGCGCTCGGGAAGACAGGAATTCAGCACCTCCCAGCAGGCAGGCTTCCCGGGGATCCCGGGCACGGCTGCCAGGCGTTTGCCGCCTTTGCTGTTTGCTGCACTCGGCCAGTTCTCGGACTGTCGGTGGCAGCCGCTGCAGATGTGAGACCCAACGTGATCGCTGCTCCTCAGATCCCCGCAGGTCAGGCGTTGCCCAGCACAGCTCGGAGCAGGCTCTGCGGTGGAGGGGCCCTGACTCATGCCGGCTGGGGATAGCCGGGGGATGTCTGCGCGCTCTCACACAGCCGCGGGCAGGTACCGTCCAGCGCTGCTCTCCACACCGGAGTTACGGTTTTGCCGACCGCATCTTACAGAAGGAACGTAAATCCTCTTGCTTTCTCAGCTCTCTGTTTTACCTTCTCCACTGTTTGCCCTCCTGTGTATTCGTACCGATTACAGCATTATGTTAGTGTGACTTAGAAGCAAATGGGAGAAGGAAGTTAGGAACAGCAGTTAATTTGTGGATACTATTTTTGTTGTGGTAATTACCTGTAGGCTCTGAGACATCTCCACTTATGCTGGAGCCAAGCAGATGGCATTGAAGAAAAGCCATTTCCACCCCAAACAAAAGCCTAACTTTTCTTTTATTTAATGCTACTGTAGTAGTTTTATAGGTCAGATTACGGTTTTTAGTCTGCCTACTATCCCAAATGCCTGTGTCTGGCTCTCCAGTGCAAACCCGGTACTTCAAAACATCAGCAAAATTAACACTGAATTCTGAGAATAACTCGAGGACTAACCATTAATCTTTGCTAATCAAATGATCTGAGGGTCAGTATCTTTAGTACTTGGCTTCTGGCAGCATGAAGGCACATGCTGAAAAGCGTGGTAAAACACCGAGGCCCACAGTCTGCTCTGCTGTACAAGCACAAATCCACTGAAATCAAAAACAGCAGAGGAGTTTCACCTTTCTGGGCAGGGTCCTTCCCTGAAAGGCCTGCTTTTATTCGATAGGCCCTGGCAGTAAAAGATTGCCAAGAAGCGACACACCACCCTGTCGAGGACTGCAAACATAGATGGAACTGGCTGCTGGCTTGGAAAACTGTTTCAGTTACAAAGCTCACAGATACAGAGGAAAAAAGAAGTTGCATTTCTTGGATCTGTTATCACCCAGGTGTGGACCTAGGGTAGAGGGGGAGGGATACTAGTCCTGGAGCTGCCCTGTGGGAAGGCAAAGCACACAGCAGCCTCCCCTTGAAGACACGAGCTCCTTGTGTTTCTCACCTGTATGTGCACAATTTGCTGTCCTAAAAGATGATGCCTGGAAGATTCAGCTCTACGCATTGTTGTCTGGGAGAACGGTGGTGTGTCCTATCTCTGGCGATCTGCCATTTCTCCAGCAGGCTCAGGAACTGTTCTGATCTACAGATATTTCTACGCTTCTTCCTGCATCCCTTACAGAGCAAAATTACTGATCTTTGTTCGAACAAATCTCTGTTTGAAATCTTCAGGGGAAAGAAAGAGTAACACGACTGAGAAGAGGCATGTTGCTCCACCATCCTGTAGAGAATGAATAAATGATGTTTTTGCTAGAGAGATTCCTTTCAAGCTTTGCTCTTATGTGAAAGATCACAGTATTTAAAGACAATTGGCAGAGAGAGGCCATTATGGGTGTTTGGCAAGCTAGGTCTCTCACAACCTACCCCCTTCACAACAAAGACTGTCTTGTTTTGAGGTGGTACTCTCCCTTTTGGAGCAATATGGATCTTATCAGCCTCCACACAATCTGTTCTTGGTGGCTTTCCTCTGGGCTACAAATTCTTGTCTAGTTTTACTTGCCCATGGCTAGGTTTTTGATATTTATGCACTTAGGAGACAGACCGGCACCTACTGGGCTTCCAAAAATAAACTAGATGTTCAATTTGTATTGATTTGCTGTCTTCACCTGTAGGCACCGCTATGCTGTTCAAAAGTCAGTCCTTTCTACTTCTCTGGTCTTGCCACGTGAAACTGCACCGTGCGCTGTGCTCACTCCCCCGGGGCTCACGAATGACCTGTGAAAGGGTCCTTCTTTAGGATGACACTAGCTGCAGGTGATTCAGGATGCATTCCAGTAAATCATACATGTACTATTACCTAGCTGTCTTCTTAAGAATCACTAGTAAATAAATCTGTTCCATCTTGGTGAGCAAGAGCTGACAGACTGTGCACTGCAGTAGGCAGGCCTGCTGGGCTTACCAGGGAAACTGAGCTTAAGTAGGACTGCACGGTATAAACCAACAGAGGACCACCAGGAAAAGCCTGATCCAGACTTTTTGGAGATCTCATTTCAAGACTTACCACTTCTGCTAGTCTTGTTTTACCTAGGCAGGTGTCTCTCTGCTGCCTGCGGTGCCAACAACAGTCTCTCTGAACCTACTGAATACGTGACTCTGTCAGAGCAATAGCATGAGCATCTGTCAGCTCTTTCTAGAAGCAAATAAAAACTCACTGTGTCAGATGTGGAGGGTTTTAGAGGTCATAGGTGGAGAACATCCAGGCTGCTATTCCCTTTCCTGAACAGCCTGGCTAGTCCAATGCTTGCAAAATACTCGTGTGCACACCCAGGATGCAGCGAGAAGCAGTCGCACCCGAGATGAGCGTGTGTGAAATGTCTCCGTTGCCAGCTGCTCCCATGCTCCAAACTAAAGCCAGCGGTTCCTGCAGGATGGTGCCCATGCTGCCTCCGCTGCTGGGCTACGGCGAGTAGTTTTCCTTACTGTTAAAGGACAGGGCTCTAACTCTCTGTTCCTCTCTCTGTCTTGGGACGAATCGCCAGGACTCAGTTCTGTAGCACTTGGGCACAACTTCAAAGTTCCCCGGCTGCTTGGAGGGGAAGGGGCAGAGTTCAAAACAGGGATTGCAGACACCCTACAAAACTGGCCCCAAGCAGCCCGAGAAGCCTCACATCATTTGTCAAACCTACTGGAGAGCAGCTATTTCTGACCTCCAGAAACAGAGTTTAGGGTGTCTTTCCTCTTTGAATTAGTATTTCCTGAAATGCTGATTCACTGCAGGAAGAAGCAAGCAGTACAGGGAGAACAGGAGGAGAATTCATAACAGTTGGGTCAGAAAAGAGAGATAAAGCTTGAATTAATTTAAAGGCATAATCCTGATTTGCCCTGCAAACTTCCATCTGAGGGGTTATAATTGCAAGACTGAATTGTCTGTTAGCAAATTTGTCTTCTCAAGTACAAAGTTAATTAAATTACTGTAAGTAACACAATAACGTATGTCTGAGAGATATTTATGCTCCAGGAAATAAAAATATTATTCTCCAAGTTATCTTGCTAAAAAATAGCAAAGTAGGTACTGAAAGGTTCTACATATTTTGGCTGTAAACTTTTCATTTTGACAGCACAGCAAGGTACATGTCCAGATTGCTCTCTCCTCTCTTTTTCCCTGTGACATTGAAATTCCACGAATGGCATCTTGCATCAGCGTTACATCATATTAAGTATAATGCAATATTATGAGTCATTGTTATAAATCATGGGCACAGGCTGCATTAGAAGGCTTTTGCAATTCAAGAGCACATCAAGGTGGATTTTTTTTCAGCTTTTCCCTTTGGAGGCATACCTAGGTGCACTAACTTTGCAATGTATCTTCATCCCCTGAATCAGTAGCATTTCAGTTTTCCCTTTCAGCTCTAAGGCTCACAGGAGGAGTGCGGTATGTGCCTAGCAGAGTTGCTGCAAATACCAAGCAAAGCTATGAGAAACCAGAAGGTGTTTCTGAAGTGGATCATGCAATGATCATAATAGACTGAAGCATTTACTATTTTATCCTTTAGGGAAAACTGTAATAATGTTGAAGTATCTGGAAAGCAAGGAGTTCAGGAGTTCTCCCAAGCTATTCTGTAAAGCCTATACTTATGACACTCACTCTTTTTACTTGCTAGCATCTCTGACCTCAGAAGGAGATTGCTGCCATATAACTTTCCTGAACTTCTTCCAGTTCTTGCATAGTGTGCAATCACCACACCACTGCAAGAATTTAACTATCCTCTAGAGAAGCCAGCTATTTCTACTTCATTCAAGACACCTTTTACTTTAACTAGCCTATTAGCCTGACTACAACAAGCAGCACAGAACATAAGCTCTTGCAGAAGAACCACTTGAAAGGTTGTAAGCATCTAGCACGTTGTTAGAAAAGAGGCAAGGCTAATAAGAGAGACTGCCAAACAATTTAACATTTCTAATTTTTCTGAATATAGGCATGAAATTCTGGAGATTTAATAGTTCTGCCTGAACTAAGTCTTAAAGCACATGAAAACCTGGCACTATTCCTGTTTGTACCCATGGCTCAGCTCAGCTGCCTGCAGAGGAGAGGGGGTGCAGCTTGTGGGCTCGCAGCCCTGCTGGGGTGGCCTTGCCCGAGGAAGACCACAACCTTCCAGGGAGACCCCAGCAGTCCAGCAGCTCCTGGTAGGAGCTCTGCTTCCAG